TATTTAAATAATTATATAATTTTTTAATTGAAACTTTTTTTAAATGGATGTAGAAAAAAAGTGGGGGAGAGGATAAATATGAATTAGAGATAGTTTAGGCGGGAATCTCTCTACTAAATTGGAAATAATTTAAGAGATATATAGGAGTTAGAGATAATTTAGGAGATAAATAGGAATTAGAGAGAATCTAGGAGAATGTGGGGGAAAGTGGTGCCACTTGAATAAACATTAGAAAATCAAATCCCTCTTTCTTTATGGTTGTTAAAAATAGTTAAGCCTATGTTATTTCCTTATTGGTTTAATGGGTAATTATGTAGAATTAAAAATAAAAAAAAGGAAATTAGGAAGGGATGTTTAAAGCAAGGAGAGGCATGGTGACTTGGACTTTTTTATTTATTTTTATTTCATGTCATTTTTTAAAGAACCAATGAGATGCTCTCATTCCTCATAAAAAATTATCTAAAATGTCTCTCTTTTACCCAAACATTCCCAACAATCTGCTCTCCTAAAATTTATCCTAAACTAACTCCTCCGCTTTCTCCTAAATCATCTCCAATTCCTATTTATCTCCCAACTTATCTCTAATTTACTAGAGCATTTCTCTCCAAATTATCTCTAATAAACTTTAAAATAATTATTATAGATTTAATAATATTCATATTATTAATAGTTTTATATTTCTACAAAATTCATCACGAAATTATGTACTAACAATATAAATTATGATTTTCTAAATTATTCAACTTAAATGTTATTCAAATAAAAGAAATTTAATATTAAAAAATAAAATATTATTTTAATATTTCAATAACAAAATATCTTAAATAATAAAATACTAAAAATAGATAAATAATTATATAGAAAAATATTTAATTATTTAAATAACAAAAATTTTTAACATAACTATATTTTAAATAGTTAAAATAACGAAATTATGCAATAAAATAGAAAACTCTTAAAATAAAAAAAAAACATAACATAATATTCAAATTAATAATAATTTAATATTTTTACAAAATATATAATGAAATTTTGTAATAATAAAATAAATTATAATTTTATATTTTGTTAAATTCAATAAATAATTAAAATTATAGAATTTAAATAACTAAATAAAATTTTAAATAACCAATTTCACTTAGATCAATTAATAATTCTTGAAAAATAACTTTTAAAAAATAATATTCATTAATAATGATTTTAAAATATTAATCTATATTTATTATATATTTGATATACTAAAATTAATAATTATTGTATTTTCAACAATTATTTATAGTTTTTTATTATAAATATATTTTCAATAATTATGTATAAATATATATATTTGTTTTTTTATTTAAAAAAAATTAATAATTATTGGATGTTAAATTACTATTATTTAACTTTTTAAATTTAATTTATTATACGTATCATATTTATTGTACTTTTGTTGTATTTTATTCATTGATATTTATTAGAGATTAAATTATTAATTGAGATTGCAATATTTATCGATTAGATTAATATATTTTTTAATATTTTTTGTATTTTTGTAATTATTGTAGTTATTTTACTTTTATTAGTTATTTATGATAATATATTTTCAATAATTGTGTATCTTTGCTAGAGAATTTTAATAATTATTAGAGATTAAACTACATTTATTTATTAAAGATTAAAATATTAATTTATATGAAATAGGGGTGTTGATCATGGCCTGGTTTAGTTTGGTTGTAGGTTATTTGGACAACCAAATCGACATGGTCAAGTTGGGGAGTTGGTTACCCGGAATCTACTGACCATTAGTGAAAACCAACTAATCAGGTTGTATTGGTTTGGGTTGATTTTCGGTTTGCTCAATTGGTTTTAAATAGTTAAAGTAAAGAAATTATGTAATAAATTAAAAAAAAATATATGAAAAGTAGAAAAATAATTATAACATAATATTGAAATTAATAATAATTTAATATTTTTACATAATATTGTAAATAACTAATTTCACTTATATCAAGTAATAATTCGAGAAAATAACTTTCAAAAAATTAATATTTGTTAATAATAGTTTTAAACTCTTAATTTGTATTTATTATATAATTATATATACTAAAATTAAGATTTATTGTATTTCAGTAATTATTTATTATATTTTGTGATAAATGCATTTTCAAAGATTATGCATAAATTTGTCTTGTTTTGTTATTTAATAGAAAACTTTCAATAATTATTAGAGATTAAACTACTATTATTGAAATTTTTAAATTTAATTTATTGTACTCATTGTATTTATTGTCAAGATTTTTAAAACCGAACCAGACAATGAACTAGTTAGAGGTCTGGTTCTCGGGTCAAATAGTTCGACCATTCAAATCGAACGGATGGTCCGTTTTGACAAAACAATTTAAAAAAATAAAAAAAAATGACCAAAATCGCTGAATGGTTCGAATGCCTGGGTCAATGATGACCAAATCAATGTTTTTGGGCAAATTAACAGTTTTGGGGTAAAACGGACTGGTTCCCGATTTTTCCAGCCTGACCGTCCAGTCTGGTCAGGTTTTGAAAACCATGTTTATTGTATTTTTGTTATAACTTATTGATTAGTATTTATTAGAGATTAAACTTTTATTTGAGATTATACCATTTATTGACTAAGTTAATACATTTTTACTACTTATTGTATTTTGTAATTATTGTATTTTTTCATTATCAATATATTTCCAATAATTGTGTATTTTTGCTATAAATTTCCAATAATTATTAGAGATTAAACTATTGTTATTTATCAGAGATGAGACTATTAATTTAGTTAAAATTATTATGAGTGTTCATTAGTTGGTTCAGTTTGGTCGTAGGCTATTTGGCCAACCAAATAACCTGGTCAGGTTGGGGAGTTGGTCAGCTAAAATCAATTGACCTTTTGTAAAAATTGATCCACTCAAGTTGTATCGGTTTGGGTCAATTTTTTAGTTTGGTTAGTCTGTTCAAAAGATTTAAACTTAAAAATTAAAGTACAATTATTAAAAAATAAATTTAAAAATTAGATCTATGATATAAAACATTTTAGATTAAGAAATATGGGAAAATTTCCACTTTTTCATATATAAGAATTATATTTAAAATATAAAATATTAATATATATCCATGGTTAGGTGATTCGATTTTGGCCGGTTTACAAATGGCTAAAGTGAAACTGATCCAACTTGTTCCAATTGAAAATTTTTTAAACCAAAGCCAACCTAAAATACTAGAAATTGACCAACTCGGGTCAAGTTGATCGGGTTGGTCAATTTCATTAGTTTGATGAATACCTAACTAAAATTAATTGTTGTTATTTTTGTATTATAAAAATTTTATTAAAAATAGTATAAAAATATGAATAGTTAATAATTATTTAAAAAGTTGAAAACATAAAACAATTGTATACTCTTATGTATTTCTATTAGGGTCATTTACTAGAACACACCTTATAGTTTTACATATTTACTTAAACCTTCCTTACAGTTTTCATTTTACTAAAACATCCCATATATTTTACAACTTATTTATTTAATCAACCGTTCATTAAGGAGTGTTTGTTTTGCCATTAGGCCCATGATTTTTTATTCCAAAAACACCCTTAACACTTTTTTGTAAAGAAAACAAAATTGACCAAATATAGCCAATAGAGTAGTTGCCCATGTCTTATTAAGGGCAAAAATAGTATTTTTATTTTTATTTTCTTTTGATTAAATTTATTTAAATGAACATTAGGATCAACGTTGTCATTTTCCACTATCATCTAATGGAAGATTGATTAAATAGATTGCAAATAATAAGTTGTGTTTTAGTAAAATGCTAATTATAGGGTAATTTTAATAAATCTATGAAACTATAAGGGATATTTTAGTATATGACCCTTTTTATTATTTAGCTTTCGCTTAATAAATCATGTGCATCACACAGGTCCCCGCTAGTTATATATATATATATATATATTAACACTAAAAAATTATTACATGCATATGTTAGGAGGTTTGCATGTCTCCTCTTCGACATTGCCTTACCTTCACCTTTAGCCTCGTAAGGCAATGTTTGGGAGTGCTTTAAGTTAAAAGTAAGCGCTTATTGAATAAGTGCTTAAAAACAAGTGTTTATTCGAATAAACACTTATTTGCATTTGGCACCCAACTTTTTCAAGTGCTTATTTTAAAACTTAAATAAGCATTTGTGACTATTTTGACCTTCATTTTCTTTCAAATTTTTAAAATATACCCTTTGAAAAGCACTTTGATGAAAACACTTCTATGAAAGTACTTTTATAAAAGTACTTTTATGAAAATACTTTTAAGAAAATACCCTTACAAAAGCACTTTTGTGAAAGTACTTTTACTTTAAAGTACTTTTGTAGAAGTATTTTTATAAAGCACTTTTATAGAGTGCTTTCATAAAAGTGTTTTCATAAAAAATACTTTCTTAAAAGTGCTTTCCTAAATGTTATTTCATAAAAGCACTTTTATAAAATTTAACTAGGGATAATATTATAAGTGGTATTTTAAAGGGAAAATTCCCGATAAGTACCTTATAGTTTAGGTCTAGTGCCAATTTAGTACCTAAACTTTAAAACGCGATAATTTAGTACCTGAACTTTCAATTTGCGACAAATCAATACCCGGCGTTAACTCACGTAAGTCAGAATGCTACCCAGCAGTTCGACCAATGTATGAAATATTTTTTGAAATGATGAAAATGACCCCACCTTTAATCCTTTCTCTACAAGTGGGAACCATTGTTCACCCACTCTATTACCTGAAGTTCCGAATAAACCAGTTCCACACGTCGGTAATGTCAAGAGGAATGCGACGCCGGAAAAGTTGAAATCGACGAGTGACAAACCAGACAGCGTCATACAAAGATATGCTCCGTGTATTGTGGAAGAAATTGCCGGAAGAAATCACATCTCATAATGGTACCCCTTTTTCTAACTTAACCGTTGCCAGAGAAGAAGACCCCTTGTTGCTGGTGCCGGAAGAGACGACTAGGGATTTTTTTTTTGCTTTTTTCTATTATTCTCTATGCTTTTTTACTGTATTTATATTACATTGACTTCTGGTTGATTTTAATGCAAGATTTTTAGGGATTTTCTGATCAGCCTATATGAACCTACTGCTACTGAGAACTTTTGGTCCCACCATCTCTGATGCCTCCGACAAAATTTGGTTTTTCCTAGAGGGTTCAAGGTCAAGCTACTGAACCTTTTGGTCCCACCATCTTTGATGTCTCCGGCAAAATTTGGTTTTTCTTAGAGGGTTCAAGGTCAAGCTACTGAACCTTTTGGTCCACCATCTCTGATGCCTCCGGAAAAATTTGGTTTTTCTTAGAGGGTTCAAGGTCCAGCTGTGCAACTACTGGGTTTGGCCAAGTTGTTTCTGTTAACTTGTTGGTTGTAGCTTCTGTAGAGAGCTCCAGATGAATCTGATTAAACAAACTGATCGAATTACAGAGACACAGGTGAGACCGTTTCGAAGTGATGGAGAGCCTTAATTCACACTTTCTTTCCATATATACTTCATAACCATTTGTCAAAAAATCAAAATTTCCCAATCCCCATCCACTTTTTGCTGGGCAACGTACCAATGGCCAGCACTGATCAGACAAAAAGCAGAGACATTTATTGCTGGACATCCATTTCTTCCTAGACAATGTACCAATCCCCATCCATTTCTTGTTGCGCATCCATTTATTTTCCTACATATATACTTCATAAACAGCCACCTTGCCCCTCCAAACAAATCAAATGAAAACAAGAGGAAGAAAATTAGGGAAAGGGACTTTTTCAACCTGAAAAATTAGGTTATTTTTCTCTATATAACCACACCACCCGAAAGCGCCTTCTGGAAAATCTCATAGTCCAAATCATATTCATCCACCTTCTTCCCACCAACCCCAAGACGAATTGCCGCTGCAACCTGATCTTTACCGGCAAAAAAATCGAGTTTGCCGGCCACTTTGTCAAGATCATCACTAAGAAGCGGAGCACTAGCTAGAGCATACCAAAAGTCGGCAAGCTCCTCACCCTCATCAATTCTCAGAATTGGACCTTGCGCTCTCTCCTAACGGACGACCTGACAGGCAGCCACTCAGCCACTCTAGCACGATAGCTAATTTGAAACTGATCAGACGTTAGGAGTTTAAAGCTTACCACCTTCTTTGGCGTTCATTCAACCTGCGCGTGAACAGTCTCCTCTCCTCTCGTCTATGTTCCTTCAAGTTGGAGTTGATCGAAGCTTACCACCTACGCGAGCAAGAGCAGGAGGTCAGAAAATTACCGTGGAGGTCGGAATCAAAGGCTACGCTTACCACCTATGAACACTGTGTTCGGAATGAAGGGCTGCGCTTACCACTTCTCTTGATCTTCTTCAACTAGATTGAAGAGAAAGGGGAAAAGGGAAAAAAAGAAGAGAAAAGGGTAAAATGGTCTGAAAATTATCATAGAGGTTAATTTTGGCATTATGAAAACATATAAATCGCACCTCACCTCACGTCATGGTTCTGAGTGACTGTGAATTAATGGCAGGTACTGATTTGTCACAAATTGAATGTTCGCATATTAAATTGTTGAAAGTTTGGGTATTAAATTGTCGCGTTTTAAAGTTGGGATACTAAATTGACATTAAACCTAAAGTACAAGGGTACTTATCGAGAATTTTCCCTATTTCAAAATTCAATTAGGAATAATTTTGAAAGAAAAAAATTGAATAACTGCTTATTATATAAATACTTAAGAAAATCTGAAAATTTGGACTTAAAAATAAACCCTTATTTTTAAAATAAGCACTTATCTCGGACTTATTTCCCAAACACCAATAAGTGCTTAATAACCTAAATAAACACTTATTTTTTAACACTTCCAAACATTGCCTAAATTCACCTGTAACATAGTTTTGTCATTATAAGAGTTATTTGGCATCCTTCTAATTATAACTATTATGTCTCAAATGCACGGAGGAAGAGATTATTCCATTAGAGCCCCAGAAGTAAATTGTTGAAAACCGACTGGTTTTTTTTTTTTTTTTGGTATTAAAACCGGTTGAGTTAACCCGGCCAATTTTCAATAACCAATCCAAGTCTTTAATTCATCATATATTGTAAAATGGCAAGGGGAACCAAACTCATGGCCTCTTATTGACAAGAGCCTGCCTGAGTCCATGATACCAAAAAGGTATCATAACCAATCAACCAGTATATCATCATCTAATTGGTTAAAAATCAACTGATATTAAATGAAATTCACATAAGGTTCTGGTTGGTATGCTATAATTATGCTATAATACCATTTGTCTTTGTTACTTGACCTTTTTTTTTTGTTTCTTTAGACTGCATTTGGAAATGATGCAAATAGAGTGTAAATCCCAATTCAGGGTTCACTTTTGCACTCTAGTTCACTTTATGCATTGAGAAATGACAGACCAATGCATATCTACATTGAAAATAAGATGTAAAAGTACATCAATAAAAAAAAAGTAAGTTTGCACTTAAGTGGGCTTTTGATAAAAAAAAGGCATATGCTTTATTGGAATTCATGTTTGCATCCATTACAGCTAAAAGTCTGTTTGGTAAAAAGGTAAATTTATCAGTGCAAAACTAACCCAATTTTGCAATTTATATGAACCGTTTTACAATCTACATATTTGCATGTTTCCAAATGCAGCGCTAATGTCTATATTGACCAAATATACATCTTTTGAAAAATCTTTTATTTTTTCAGAGTTCATTTCAGATGCTCAGACCTCTGCTTCAGATAAAGCCCCATAAGAACAAGAGAGCCAACTACCATATTTACACAGTTAAAACATTATCCTAAGACTGGAAGGCCACTGTATTTCAATAATGCGTACAAATTTACACTTAAAAACTTTACTCAGCTAGTGACAGACTCGTCTTTGGATTCTACATAACTTTCTGCATCCCATAAAAATGATCCAAAGGCAACTGCCTCCAAGACGAGCATAGTCAATCCTGAAAATGTAAGTCCAATCATTTCATCATTAGATGTATCAAGTGAACCATCCTCAGCAATCCTGATGTCTGGCCTACCAAACAAGGCCTGTGTCTGCTTCTCTATCAAAGAAATAGCTTCCTTAGTCCTTACGGTTGCATATCTCTGCAGTGTCTCTGCATCCAAGTACATTACGTAAGACCTCAATCTATATGACTTGGTTTCACCAGAACCCAGTATATCTCCATCACCATCACTGTCACCATCATCAGGTGAGATCCGAATCAAGCTATCTGCATCCCAGAGCTGGTTTTCAGGTGCTGGATCTTTAAGTACCTGATCTTCATCAAAACCATCAGGAAGAGTTTTCATGGTTCTCTCAAGTTGAAACCTCTGATCAACTCTTTTGAGGAAATATCCATACATTATAGAGGCTGCATAGAGCTTCCCAAGTTTGAGCTTGCTGATTTGGACAATAGTATCAAGAGGACCCACAAGCCGATCTCCAAGAACAAGAGATAAGTGGCTCTGAATCATCTCAAAGGCTTCAGGGGAGTGGACAGACTCCAGTTTCTGTTCTTGGTTTGGCCATAAATCCACCCTGCCAGTGGGATCCGAGGAAGGCACTGATATTGGTGGTATCATCGAAATGGCATTTTCCATGAACTTTTGTACGATCAAACAGTATATTATCTCCTCAAGAGCTTTCCGTCTTTCTTTCTCCTGGACTTCAGCTATTCTCCTGCAACTGAGAGTGTTAGTCTTGATGGTTTATATCTCACCAATCAATAGGCAAGTTTCAAAGTACTAATATCATGACTGATACAGGTCGGTACATATCTAAATAGAATTTCATATTAAACTTACATATTTTTAAATTTAATTGAAATATAATATGCAATTATATGTCAGTACTTCTAAAATGCATAAGCAATAAATATCTTTCATATTAAGCTGTTTGAGGGTTTTCTGTTCCCATTATGCATTACAAATTTATACTTAATACCATGTGTGTGTGTGTTAATTTGAAAAAGACTTACTGTTCATGTTTAAAATATATTACTCCATTTTGAATGCATTAGGCATATTGCTTCATAATAGCAGGTTCATGTATAAGTATCTTAATTATTGCACCATACCCTAGCATTTCCCAATATTCTCTTACATTGCCTTTCAAAAACTCTTTCCAATACCAAACCCTTTGAACTTTGCCGATAAGAATTCATCTAGAAACTGATGCAGAAAAATATTGAACAGTAGCACTGCACCACCTCATAAAAGGATAAGCCACAGATGGTGTTCCTGCAGGTCCAATACCAAGTACTTAACATGAGCAGGACCTTGATATGCAGAGACAGCCAAAACCAAATTGTTGCATATGTTTTTCTCTTTTTTAACTTGATATATGCAGCACTTTGGGTTCTGTTGGTACTTCTGTTGCCTAACTTGAGATTTATTGTCAAAAAAGTTCAAAGTGTGGATAGAATTTTAAAGGATGAGATGCTTATAGAACTGAAATTCCTAGAATGCATTCAAAAAAGATATAAAACATGCAATTAAAATTATCTGGTCAACATTTCTAGAGACAAATTGGAAATCAACAATATTCAATGGCATTGATTTCAGGGTCCAATAGGAAGATGAGGTTGATTCCGAGGTGGTAAGATATAGCATGATACTACAAGCTCTATTAGTATATAACCAATCAAGCCAATTAACTATCATAAAACCATTTATGTTTCTTCTATCTTGCACTGATTCTAAATGAATAACTGTTCAAATGGAAAAGGACTCTGGCAGCCTGTGCCATTTGCAGATAAAAGTTCTTCAGACATTGTCAGGCTAAACTGAAATTGGGAAGAGATACAAAGTACTACCAAATAGAGATCCTAAAACCCTAAGACTTGAAGGCAGAACAAGATAGAAAAAACATGAGTGCTCGTAAGGGAAAGCATAGAGATACTTTCTTGGTTAAGACGACCAAAAAAGATATGAGCCAGAACAAAATAGTTAATTCTAGTACTCATAGGATGATAGGAGAAGCATAGAGATACTCTGGCTAAGAGAACCAAAAGCATATCCTAGAAACTGGTGAAAAGAAGTACAATGGAAAGACCATTTGCTATTGTTTAAGTTCAACAGTTCAAAAGAACCAAAGACGTGATTCTTAAAAGTCTGCAATTGACAAAGAACATCCATTACTCAGTTTTGCTTCATTTCCCATGAGACACAGATATCCCTATCACATGGATATGAGTGGTAATGGAGGCCTCAAAGCTACCTCTATAATTACATGATACCACTCCAAAATCTTTAAATACCAGTACTCAATAATATGTATTTATAGTCTATATGTGGCATCTAATATTATATAAATAATGGCAGTTGAAAGAAATGTATCATAAAGGACAAGATCAGGTTCATGTTGGGTCAGGTTGACCAGGGTGATGTAGGACCAGCTCAGTTCTAGTCCTTAAAGAGTGTTGAATGGTCTTCTTAATCAAAAATTTACGGCTGTTGATAGCTGTAATGGCTTCTTGAAGGAATAAGAGAGAAAATAAGGAGAGAAAGAAGAGAGAAAATACCTGGAATCACTCACAGGGTGCCTAGAATCACTCTAGGGCATGGGAATCACTCACCATAGCTAGCATAAGCTGAAGAAAACTCAATAAACTTCATTGTCTTTGTGTAAAACGCCTATACATATTTATAGACTCTAAACTTATAATAATCTTAGGAGTCAAACTGTTAGACTCGTAATAGTCTTGGGAGTCAAACTGTTAGACTTGATAATCCTAATAGGACTCAAACTAAGCTGTCATATCCTATTTCAATTCAAAGAAGACTCAATAACTCTAATCCCACTTATGCAATCACTCTGAAATTTTAAACATAAGCAAATTATAACCAGACAAATTAAACTCTTATCATTGGATCCCACAGGAATTGCAAAATGACAAAAGTATCCCTACTGTCCCAAAATACAGAAATACATAAAATATCATAAAAATCCAATTGACTCTTCAACTCCTGCATCATTCTCCCCCGGTTGAAAAAAAACTTGTCAAATTGAGGATGAAAAGTTGATATTTGGTACCAAACAAAAAACGTTGTTGTTGCTCCAGGGAACATCCTACCTGGCAGCAACAATTTCAAAAAAAAATAAATACTTAACCCATACATCAGCAACACCATTTTTTGAAGCATCGATACTAAACATATACTAAAAAATCATCAATTTTAACTATCACGGAGTTAATCATTGCAAAACAATTAAAAAAAAATTGCCAAGCACATTTATTTAGGTAATGTTTGGCATTGATGATTATTTTCTGGAAATCAGCACCAAGTAAGATCCACATCAGAATTTAAAGAATCAATGCTTTTTTTTTTCTTGTTTGGTTGGCCAATTATGCCGATTTCTGAAAAGCAGCCAAAAATCGATTATTGATATCAGCCCTTTTTCAGGGATTGATGATTTCCTGGTTTTTAACTGATTCTGAGGATGACATGGCATTGAATAATAATTATAATACAAAACAATCAACCCTCAAAGCCGATTTCCAATTTCTCAAAAATTAGCTTACATAGCAGAAATTATACCAAACAACATTTTTTTATGATTTTTCAAAAAATCACTGATTCCAGAAATCACTTATATCACCACTTTTTGGATAATCAGCAAGGAAAAATCATCATTGATGCCAAACATCACCTTAGTGTTTCTGTTTTGTTTTTTTCCCCTGATGTGGGGAGCTTGTGAAATGCCTACTCAAGCACTAATGGAAGCTCGGCCTTATATTTTCATGCTTTTGAACCCAATTACGATTTCTGATACAAAGACAAACAAAAATCATAGTAATCAAAACAATGTTTGTGTTTGTTACATGTAAGCACATTAATCCTCGATTATATCTTCTTCATGTTCTGATTCTGAAGAAGTTCGGGCCATAGCTCCAGTTGATAAGGTAAAACAAGCTTCACATATAAATCCAGTAACATCACCCGGATTTCGTTGTTGATCAGCATGGAGACTGCAGTATGCCTTGTTACACATATTGCATTTTGGAAGCGGAATCCAGCAGTCCAAACACAAGAAATCTATGCAAATGGTGTGCCCCATCTCTGTCAAGTCGATGCATCCACCGCACTCCACACACCTTGGAATGCAAAAGAAGCATCCTCTGCATTCAGATGATAGTGGCTCAGTCCTATTGCAGCTCTCCCTTGGGCAATCAACAAAGGGAGTAGGACTTCCCACAGTTACATGCTTGGACTGTAGAGTAGAGGCCACACACAGAACTAGAAAATGATCTTGAAAGAAATGTATTTCTGAAACACTACCTTCCCTAACCATCTTTGTTAAATCATCGATAACATTAGTTTTTTGAACACTTAATTCATCAACTAACCATTGTGATGAATATTCAAGTGGTGAAATGGGAAGAGGAAGCGATAAGGAATTTCAGGCGGTGAACAGGTGGAAGACTGAATTGAATATCGAAGCGAAGAAAGTACTACTTGAGAGCCGAAGGGCCAGAGGTAAAAATCTGCTAAAGGTTAGAGAAGACAGGAAGGCGATGATACTTTTGGTTGAGGAAGCAGTCCTAAGGGTGAAGGTTTTATCAACGGAGTACTTCAATCAACCAGAATAGTAGGGTGGAAAAATATATTAGAGCTGGAAAGGAAGAAATACAAAGTGGAGCTGAGGCTTAACAGGAAAGGATGGTTCATTACCATCACAGAACACTTCGGCGATAGGAAACAAATGGCTTGCTTATCGGAAGGGAAGAAGACACAAGGTTGGACAGCCTTTGCAGGTGGGTTACAGCAGTTCCCCGTCTCTGTTGACAGTCACGTACACAAGGAACATGAGCAAGAACATAGTACAGGAGATAGCCCTCCTAAACCATCGAGCCAGCCCTTAAAGCAGAGTTCCTTTAAAACGTTAACAAGCTCAAATAGGGGGGTGAAATTCTGGTTTGAGGCTGTGCAAGATGACTGGGAGAGGAGAATGGTGATAACAGCCACCAAGGAGGTACAGGATTGAGGAAGATACTACAATCTGTGTGCATAACTTGAAACTGGAAACTGAGGTTGCTCTGAAGGCATTCTCAGACAGGAAGGCGGTGCTAAGAATTGATGATGAGGTGAGGTGGATAGGGAATTCACAGCATTTGAGTGTGAAGAAGGTTTGGTCTATATCCAGAACTGGAAGCCATTATGTATAAGATGGTACATACCAGAGGAAGCTTTATGCTAAAACTGGTAGGACTTCCCTTCCACCTGTGGAACGAATCGAACCTGGGAAACATAGTCAAGCTGCTGGGTGGGGTAATGGAGAAAGTCCAGCAGCAAGATCTTCGAGCTGCGGAGGTTAGAATCAAGGGGTGGAAACAGGTTCGCTCCCAAGAACAATTGAAGTTCTTGCTGATGGAGTTTGGTATAGAGTTTGACTGGTTCCAGAGGTAGAGATGGAGCTCCGGGGGCGAGGTACCAAGGTAGAAGATGATGAGGACGTGGCAGGCTGGGTTACATGTGGCACACAGGCGTTGGCAAAACCAGGCGAAGAACAGCACCGGCCTAGAGGGGAAGCTGGGAAGTCGGCAGTGGAAAACCGAAAGAAACGCAAACATTTAAAAGAAAAAAAATTGAAAATTTTTGAAATAACTGAAAATTTAGGGGCCCGAGTTACATTTGCTGATGTGGTTAAAAAGGGGGGAGAACAGTCCAACCAAAGGG